TTTGGGATTAGGATTTACAAAATGACACGAAATATTCATTTGAAATATTAAAAGGGATGTTCAATGGTACCAGAAATTAGTAACCAAAATAACCGTAATGGTCTGCTTCTATGGATAGACTATGTCTAAAAGATGTTAATGAAGGAATAACAAATGTGAAACAAATTTTGTTTGATACACCAATAGTGGAATCAAAAATATTGGATTAAAAATAGTGTGGATTACAAAAAAGCAAGACATTCAAATCAGAAATACGAATGAAAAGAAAAAGTATGATTACAAGAGCCAAGAGGATGACCCTGATAAGTACTTTTTACTAGCTACACAAAAGAAGCTGGTTAAAGCTTTGGAAATCAAAGGAGAAATACAAAAGACAAACCAAGACATTGACCTGGATAACGATTTTCCAATTTATAAAAGAAGCCTGCTAAAGCCTCGGAAAAAGCTTTTACGTGGGGGGGGGGGAGAGAACATCTGAATGAATTAAAGATCAAGATTGTTAGAAGTAAAAGAAAGGAATATAAAGTTATTGTAGTTTCAGGAAGATTAAAATAAAACATGTTTTTATTCAGCTCTGGTAACCCTTTATGGACTTTTTGTTCACAATAAGATTGAAAAAAATAAGGATTTATGGTTTTGCATATAAAAGGGATGAGTTATGGGAAGAAATATTTGCTTGTAACTTTATAGGAGGTGATGAATTATCATTTTTATTACTTATGTTGAAGTGGAAGTTATTTCTTTACATAGTTTTTCTTTATTATGCTTTTTCCTTTTTTCTAGTTTTCTTTTATATTTCTTTGCATTATTTAGTTTTTCTCCTTATCTCTTTTTCTGAGTTTAACTTGTATTGGTTATTATTGTATTTAAAATTTTTAATATAAAATGTAAAATTCAGAAATATCATAAGAAACCTTTTTTAGCTATTGGAACTGCTAGATAGCTGTATTGGAAAAAATAAAAACAAAGCAGCCTCATTTTTAGTTTAAAAATCTTTGTGTAAAACTTTACTTGTAGAATTGAGGAATAAAAAAGTATGAGAAGTAATGTAAATAAATGCAAATAATTGCAAGAGATATAGGACATAGTACTGTTAAGAAAAAAGAAAAAATGTACTTTGTATTTTGTTGTTTGTAAAGAGAAAAAGGAAAAATTAAAATTAAAAATAAATAAATAATAGGAGGCAGTTAAAAAAAAGAAATGAAAAAAGGTGCATTGCTTCATAAAAGCTGCTTCGAAGCTTCTTGCAAACCTTCATTGAAGCAAATTACCCCTTTGACACATTTCTATATTTACCAAAATTTGCAGTGCATTTTCTTGGAAACTATTGCCATTTTTTTCTTGTTTCTGAAACTATCAAATATTTAATTGATGCAGTTATGAAACCTACATTAAACTCTGAAAGAAAGGAATAATGCACATCAAAACAATTGCTAGTAGGAATCTGATCAGTGCAGACCTTGGAGGAAGCAAAAGGAACTCATTTCAATAGTACTCTAGATTATAACTATTCAGTAAGTAATGATGGCTATAATAGTATAAAAACTGTTATTCTGATAAGATTTTTTTTAAAATAAAAAGATTTAATCATCGTATGAGCATGATGAATCTCAATTCAATACTACTTATGTTCTAGGTCACCTTTTTTTCTGGTAAGCTCTTGTAAAATAGTTTCCCAGAGAAGGCATGCTGGATTCTCAATGAAGACAAGGACTTGGAATGTATTTCCATGACAATATTTTATTAATATAGATATGTCAAACAAAAGAGCCATTTTTGCAACTTAATGAATATTTCCTGAAATTGGTCTCATAATATGATACTAATATAAGCCAAGACATACCAGCTGTTGGCTTTATCCTTCAAGAGGTGATCTAATAAAGAATAATACATTTGAGCATTTTTTTAAACGTTTGTTTCAAATTAAACATAATGAACAAGTTCTGCTTAATTATATCTCAGGACTTGTGTATGTGTGAATATATAGAAATACTGACACTTAACAAGACGAGTAATGTATTATCAGCTATATATTGACTTTTAAAAAAAAATAATTCCAAGTAATGCAAACTGTGATGAACTTACATTCAACTATGGTTTCTTACCCATTCTTCACACATCCATGAATATGAGCAGGCACCCAAACAAAATAGTTTGTACTTTCTTGGCTGATAAGGGAAGTAAATCTTAATTTACATTCCCTTAAGAAACAGTTCTTATAGGAAACAAGTGGTTCCAGATGGTGTGGTACAATTTTTTTTGTTGTTGTTGTTCAGAAGTTCAATCAGATGCCATGTTGGTATTAGTGGTGGAGCTTCAGACAGAACTTTAAGGAAAAATACTGAGGTTTGCAAAATACCTGGCAATTATACAGGTAGTTCTTGCTTAATTACTGTATTGTGGTGCTACACAGATACAAGCAGGCTAAGTGATGTAGCCATAAAAGGGATGTCACAAGACCACATCATTTAGTGATGACAATCACAGCAGTCCCCATTGCCATCATTAAGGAAAGATCATAGGTTGTTAAGCAAGGACCTCACATGACCATGATTTGCGACTTCCTGTTGCTTCCAATAAGCAAAGTCAATGGCAAATCCAGTAAGAAGTTGCAAGTCCAGGTGACACATGAGCAGGCCAGCAGGAGGTGATTGTTACAGTGCCATGCAAGCACAGGATTGGGAAAAGGTGTTGTGGTGCCACACAGATACAGGCAGGCAGAAGATGGTGTGCTGCTGCTTTCCTATTGTCTCTGCTTGTAGAAAGCAAGCAGGGAAGGTCACAAATGGTTATTACATGACCGTAGGCTGCTGCGACCATAATAAATGTGAGCTGGTTTCCAAGCACCTGAATCACAATCACATGACCAAGAGTTGCTCTAATGGGCCAAACTTGGAGGACTGATTGAAAGTACCATTTGTTCAGCATCATCACAACTTCAAACAGTTGCTGAGTAAGTGGTTGTTAACTGAGGATTACCTGTAATGGCACAGATAGCAATGGCTCTTGAAGCTGATTTATGGATTTTTATACAGATAAATGGAGACTGGGAAAAATGAGTTTGATTGGGCAGTTTTGTACTTCTGAATAGAATTGTTCAAAGTATAATGAAGACCAGAAGAGGATGGAGAGCACTTTGAAACAGTAATTAAGTAAGGCAAAAACATGGTGTGGTGCTAGAAGATGATGCACCCTTGCTGTTGGATGACATGGCTCTTCCCCATTCAAGAGTAATATGCAACTTGGGAATCCTTCTAGACTCACAATTACTGCCAAAAATGCAAGTGGCAGCTGTGGCCAGGAGGATCATTACATGGGTCATTATATTGTGTGCTAGCTGTGCCCATTGTTAGAATAGGAAGCTCTTCATGTGGTTACTCATATTTTAGTCATTTCACAATTTACTACTGTAATATATTCCACCTGAAGCTTCCCTGAAGACCACCCAGGAGCTACAGTTAAACCAAAATGCAACCAAAGGCATCTTTACAAGCCATGTGTCATCAATGCTCCACAAGCTGCAAGTTGTTGCTTCTGGGTGCATTCAGGGTATGAAATGACACCTATAAAGACATAAAATAAATTAAATAAGATAAAAACAAAAAACAAAACAAGAAACCAAAGGTTATTAGGTAAGAACAGGCCAACTATCAATTTGAGAGAAAGTTACCATCTCTGTAAGCTTTTCCTTAATTCTAGAATTAGGTTCTAGATAGGATTTAAAATAGCATACATATATATAAACTTTCATCATAAGCTGCATATACACCTAGGCCTAATTCTGAGATCTTGAATTCAGGGGAAAATGCTCTTGGTGCAGAAGAAAGAAGGGAAAAGTCATCTAAAATGATATTGAGTCTGTTTTTGTACAAGCTACATTGTACAGAATTTCAATCCAGTCCCAGGACTCAAAAATACCCTGTGGAATAAGCCTTTGTGTGTATACATATACCAAGGCAAGATTAAAAGAGTTTGTCAATGGTCTTATATTCAATACAGAAACCTGAGGGTGCTTCTTTTAATCATGTATACAATATTACACTATTCCAGAGTAAAAATTGTGAAAAGTACATACTATCATAATCCATCATATTGTCTGTAATAGCATAAAACTGTATTCACAGGAGAAGAGATCACGCACTGTGCTAAGAAAGTATAACTACTGCTTCTCTGCATCAGACCAAACCCATAATTCCTTTATTCATAGGAAGAGGATTCCATGCATAACCAACCTGAAATTCTATATGCAGAAAGGGCAGGACTTCATTATAGATCCACTGCAACATTGGGTGGAAGACTTCCAATCTTTAAGTATGAACACTGATGTCAGAAAAAGGAAATGCTGTGCATAATATAGACTTATGTTCTGACGCTTAATATGTGAAATTAAGAAGAGGGTTGGTATCAAGAGTCTTGAAGCCTATTCTTTGTATGGAACCCATCTTGCCTGAAACATACCTGAATAGAACTTAAGTTCAAGATTTTGGCTTTTAAGAGCAACTAGCCAAGTGCTTCTACTGCTCACCAACAGAGCATGAAGATGACCAAGCGCTCCCTGCCCTTTCTTCTCAACACCTGATATTCCTTATACATAAGATATGTTTGTCGAGGAGAAAACATCAGCACCATGTACAAGTCAGTACCATGTATGCGTTAATTCTGCCCATAGAACTATATAAGTACCACAAAGAAGATGGGAAGCTGCTTCCTTAGGTTTTTTTCCCCCTCTTGATATCTTTCACTTTTACTTTTATTCATGTTTTTCTTTCTTTCAATTGTTTTTTAATCTATGTAATTTTTTTTCTTTTAATTATTTTTTTTTAAAAAAATGTGCTACAAAAATATGTGAAAAAGGAAGCAGAACTAAGCAAAGCAGACATTTGGGGTTCCTGCCCCCCCCCCCAGATACGCGCGTAATGGAGCGCACACAGTCAGCAAACGTGAATGTTTGTGGAAAATCTGCCAAGCCCATTTTCTTTCGTTCTGTCAGTTTGCTTACTTGCAGAACCATCCCCTCTCTCTGAGTCAACATCACCTATCCTCTTATGGAGGGAGAGAGGACAGAGATGAGCCGGAGGTGGCAGCGCGCCGGTCCGTGGCGTGGTCCTGCAGGGGTGAGTGGGTGTGCTTCCTGTCAGCCGCGGCTTCTCTTCCCCGAGGCAAACGGCTCTGAATTCCTAGCTGCCCATACAGGTGCTGCTCGAGGGGCTTCTGCAACTCGCAGCGCCAGTCTCCATGGGAACTCGTATGCGGGGGAGGGGGCGCGTGCCTTCCCTCCTGCTGCTGCTGCTACCGGGTCTGCCCCAGCATGGCGCGCTCCCCGCGATACGCCGCTCCCTTCCCCTCGCCCCCCCCTCTACCAATCCGGAGAGAAGCTTCGGAGCCCAGCCATGGTTTCTTGGAGGTATTTCAGGGTTTCTATAGGAACAGAAAGCGGAAGGGAAGGGAAGGACGAAGGGAAAAGAGCTGGTCCCCCCTGCCTGGGCGGGGGGGGGGAGTTTCTCCACCGCGTCCTGAGTCGAATGGTGGCCCGACACAAATCAGTGCGCGCCGACGCTGCGCGAAAGGGAAGCAGCTCCCCAAGCAGCCGCAGCATCTCCTTTCCCACAAACCCACCTCACCTCCATCTTCAGTCTTCCTCGCCCCTCCCGGCTATAGAAAGTACGCTCGCCTTAGAGGCGGTGAGTGACCCAGTCCAACAACCCGCTTGCCATGTTGCACAGGGAGAGATGCCCAGGGGACTGGTGAGCAGCTGGATTAGGAGCGTCCCTTCTTCCTCTCTTTCCTTTCTCCACCCGGCCTGGGTGTTCTGTTCATAATATGGAGAGAGAGGTTCAGTCGACAGAATCAGGTTCAAAAGTAGGTGAGCCTTAATGCTGACACTGGCTTTGCTCCTGGAGGGGAGAGCTCCATCTTTATGCCAAGTGTACGAGGTTGAGTGGATAGGTAGGAAGAAGACACCACCGTTTTATTAAAGGGTGTACCTGAATAGTATAGCGGCTAGCCTCACCAGATTTTGGTGTAGATGGGAGTACTTATATAATATATAAATGAACCCCTGACATGGACAATTCCCCCCCCATAAATTTATGCTTTTATTAACTCAATTCCCCTCCCCAGAAGATACCAAAATGAATTTGCATAGGATTGCAGGACATTAAGGATATTTACTTTGCATGGTGTTTCTGCCAGGCCATGCCTAGTTTCCTCAGTTCTGAAAGAGCTATTACCACTGTCATTCATTGCAGTGCACGCTTGATATATTAAGGTCAGCTCCATTCTTGACTCTATTTTCTGCCATTCTTCCTTTTGCCAAAACTCCAGAGAAGCTTAGAGTGGTCAGACTGGCTGGGACAAACTACTGGAGCAGCCAAGCATGGCATATGGCCCTGTTCTAAGCTGTTAATAGTAAGCTCTTCAATTCATCCTGTTGTTTCTCCCCCCCCCCTCCATGTATCATAAACCCAGAATGTGTGAGATATCTTCTTGTGTTGTTTTCTAGAAGTTATAACCAGAGCAGGTAAGAAACAGGAGACAAATATGTTTTTAAGCAGCAATCATATGAAATTAGACGTCCAGTAAAAAATTAGTGTAATCTTGAAAAGCCTAGCATGGATTATTTATTGTACCATATGGCTTCCCGACTAGAAGATGATGGGCAGTTGCTTAATCAATGTAGGCAGATTTATGTAAGACCATGTCTTAAGTTAAATGATAAGATACAATATATATCTGCAATATACATTGTTCTATTTATGTGCATTATTTCAGCCAGTATAGAGAAAAATATATATTTTTTCTATAGATTCATAAAAAGATTGCATCAAGCATTTTAGAGAAACAAGAAAACATCATTGTCAAAGCTCCACTTAAGTCAAATAATAATTATACTTTTCTGTTCATTTCTTTAAATTAAGGCAAAACAGAATTTAGAGTGGCTTTTAATAATTTTCTTTAAATTTTTCCATTTTAAAAAAAAAATATATGCTTATTGTATAAAGCATAATACAGTATTAATAATAGGTAGTCCTCACTTAACAACCACAATTGAGCCTCATTATTAAACGGGTCACTGCATGACTTGATTTTACAAACATTTTAATGACTGTTTTAAAGTGAGTCACCATAGTTGTTGTGAATCACATGGTCATTAAACAACTCCATACACCCAAACTGGCATTTTTTGCCAGAAACTGGGGGGGGGGGAATGCCTGAAACCAGCAAACCAGCAAAAAAATGTGACAAATGATGGACACATGACTGCAGAATGCTGGAACTGATTGTAAATTTGAGTTGGTTACCAAATGCCCAAAATGTGAACATATGGCTGTTGGAGGTGGTGCAGCAGTAATATTTTTGAGGATGAATAATCAGTAACTTTTGTAGAGGCCACTGAAATTTCCAATAGTCATTACACAATAGCAACCTATACTAAGTTAAGTCAGAGGTGAAAAAATCTGTTACAACAATTAAATCAATTCATACCCATTTCTATCTGCCTGGTTTAACTCTTTCCAAACTTTTATTAATTTGGGCTCTCTGCCCTTGGTTTGGTCTCACTCTAATTTCTTTGAGAGTGTACCTAGCAGACCTGGGAAAGAACCAAGCATTAAGAGAGATACAAAAAGAAAAAAGGAGAGGGCCCTTCCCACATTCACACCAGCAAATACTTGAAACTTGTAACTCTTGAAACTCTTCCAATATAGACCTCAAACTGAAGATGAAAAGGGAAAGGCTGTGAGAGAAAGCACATTGATTTCTGTCCTGTGCCTCACCAGTCCAAAGTGCAGACTAGACTAAGGCCAGTTTTTAAATTAGATTAATTTTGAAACCAGGCAGATGGCCCTCAAATTAATCTGAATAAGAAGATCTATTCAGTTTAGGTGAGTACTTTCATGTTTAAGAAACTGCTAGTAGCTCTGCCAGCATGATCTTGATAATTCATCTTTCTAGTGTTAGCTCACTGATCAAATGTTGAATATGCAGTGGGAGAGCTTTATCACTGATTTAAATTTCATGCTCAAAAGTAACAATATTCCTTAATGTAATTTGATGGATTCAAGCATCTTGTTCATGCAATCCACTTTCCCTTTCCCTGGTATGGCTAAAAGAAAAGAATGAGAAGAAACTTTTTTCATCTGATTACCATTTGCCATTTCATAAACATCAAGAGAAACTTGGAACCATGTTTTGTCTGTGTGTATAAACAATCATTCCTGTTCCTAGCATTTTTTGATGAACTCTAATTAAAAGTAACCAGATTTGGACCTAACTACATACTACAATTAGTTCAAAGTAGAAATTGATGCTCCATTGTCTCAGAAAAAGAAATAAAAGACCAGACTTGTCATGTAATGCCAAATTATAGATTAGTGTTGCAATCAGGATGTTAAAATGTTTTCTTATTTTATGAATTTTAGCTCGAGCAAATGTAGAAGCATATGAACTTGATATAATTTCTTTAACATTCTTTAAATCTATACAATGAAGTTGTTTTGAAACAAAACTATATACCTAAGTTAGGTTTGTGAGTAAATAATTTTGCTTCATTTCAGACCTAATTTTGGCATCCGCATCAATTATTACATTAAAATAACTTATTTATTTCAGTCTTTCCCAACTTGGTGCCTTTGAAGTTTGATAAGATTACATATATCTGAGTAGTATGCCTGAAATTTGGAGAACTGTAGTTCTGACATATCCTGGAGGCACCAGATTGAGGAGCTGGCTTTAGTTAGCACATTTAAGTAGGTATTTGGTTCCAATTTTAATAAATGTAAAAATGTTACAGCAAAGTTATTTTGCCTTTACTGGCCAATTTCACTATCAATCTTTATTAAACAGACTTGCAGGATTAATGAAACACATCAGAAGCCAAGTATTCTCTTTTATCTGAGCTTATACCATGGCAGTAGAAATTACTGTAAGCACATTGAACAATATCAATATCTATCAGTCTTTCAACATTCTCTTTGTTCTGGCTCCAGCCTAAAATCACTAAATCATTAACATGTAACTAAATCAATGATTCTTTTGTTTTAGTTTTCTTAAGTCATGTGAACATTTGTTACAGAAAAATGAAATATTGTCACAGATGGTTGTGGGTAGTCTGGATTTCATGGGATCTTGTGATAGTGTTTTTATTTTATATTACTTTAAAATTTTGAATCCTACAATTCTCATTGAAAGCTTAGCTTGAATATGGCAAATAATTTAGTGTATGAAATAGTGGCAAAATAATTTATTTTTTCATCCAAAACTTAAAACTTTTTAGGCATTTGATAAAGTAGACCACAACCTTCTTATTAGTAAGCTAGAAAAATGTGGGATAAACAGCATTACCACCAGATGGATTTGTAACTGGCCAATCAACCACATTTAATGTGTAGTCCTTAATGGAACTACATACAGATAGTCCTCAACTTACAATTCATTTAGTGACCAAAGTTACAATGGCACTGAAAAAATGTTCACACTTATGAAAAACAATCCTGGGGTTATATGATCATCTTTTGCGACCTTCTGACAAGCAAAGTCAATAGAGAAGCTGGATTCACTTAACAACTATGTTACTAACTTAACTATACTGATTCACTTAACAACTGTGGCAAGAAAGGTGATAAAATGACGCAAAATTCACTTAACTATCTCACTTAGCAACAGAAATTTTGGGCTCAATCATCAGTACTCTTTAATATCTTCATAAATGATTTAGATAGGGAATAGAAGGGGAATTCATCACATTTGCAGAAAACACCCCAAAAAATAGGCTCAAGATCCAGAAGCATCTTGACAGATGTGAACATTGGGCATTAGCTAACAAAATGAAATTCAGTTGTGACAAAAGGTTCTACATATAGGCAACCCCCCCCCCCAAATGCACAGATATATAAAATAGATGGTACCTGGCTCAATAGTAGCAACTGTGAGAGGGATCTAGGAGTCTTAATGGACAATCATTTAAATATAAGCCAGCAGTGTGCTGCTGTAGCCAAAAAAGCCAATGCAGTCCTAGGCTGCATTAACAGAGGGATTGAAACAAGATCATGTGAAGTATTAGTATATAAAGCCTTAATATTATAAAGCCTTAGTAAGACCCACTTAGAACACTTCACCCAGTTTTGGTCACCATATTATAAAAAAGATTTAGAGACTCTGGAAAGAGTGCAGAAAAGAGCCAAAAAGAGGATTTGGAGACTGGGGGCTAAAATATATGAAGAAAGGTTGTAGGAATTGGGTACATCTAGTCTAGTGAAAAGATGACTTAGGGGCAGGACTTTTTTTCTCATAGAACGCCCAGAACGGAGTTCCAGCACCTTTTTTGGATGGAACCTTGTAGGGTAGGCAAGGCGGGTTGTATGACGTTGTGAGTTCCAGCACTTTTTTTTTTTTATAAAAAAAGCACTGCTTAGGGGTGACATGAGTGTTCCAATATTTGAGGGGCTGCCTCAAAGAAGAGGGGGAGAACCTATTTTCTAAAGCACAAGAAAGCAGGATAGAAACTAATCAAGAAGAGAAACAATCTAGAACTAGAGAGAGATTTCCTGACACTTAGAACAATTAACCAGTGGTACAGGTTGCCTTCAAAAGTTGTGGGTGCTCCCTTGCTGGAGGTGTTTAAGAAGAGATTGGACAACCATTTGTCCAGAATGATATAGGATCACCTGTTTGTGCAGGGGTT